GGTTTAGGGTTTAGGGTTTAGGGTCTAGGGTCTAGGGTCTAGGGTTTAGGGTTTAGGGTTTAGGGTTTAGGGTTTAGGGTTTAGGGTTTAGGGTTTAGGGTTTAGAGTTTAGGGTTTAGGGTTTAGGGTTTGGGGGTGCTTTTAGCGATAACATGGAGGGTAGCCATCCTAAGCCCCCCCCCCCAAAAGCCTCAAAGTCCTGAAGAACCAAGGTCCTGGAACATCCCTAAACCCTAAACCCTAAACCCTAAACCCTAAACCCTAAACCCTAAACCCTAAACCCTAAACCCTATAGACAAAAACAACTCTTGGAGCCTGCAGGGTAGACCGCGCAAGCTTGCCCAACCTAGGCGAGCTTGGGGTCAAAGGGGTGGAGGGGGGGAAGGGGGAAAGGGGGGTAGGGGGGAGGGTTTAGGGCTTGAGGTTTAGGGTTGGAGCTTTCTGGGTTTGGGCTATTGGGCTTTTGGGGTGCAGGGTAGAGCCCTCAACCCGAAGCCCTAAACCCTGAACCCGAAACCTCTCAGGCTTTATACTGAACCGTGGGGACTAAATGAGCCCTAAACGGGTCTATGGTTCATGCACCGTAATTTAGGTGGCTGTCAAAATTATCATACCTTTTGGGGTACCCCAAATACGAGGTGCCGTATTAAAAAAATAGAGACCCAAAAAAGGGACTATAATTTTGTCAACCACCCTAAAAGGGATTCCAGTGTACAGGGTATATTGGGGCCTAGGGTTCATTCCCCAAGAAAAGGTTCGAACCCGCAGTTCCACGCGAGTCGAGGGCTTGCGTTGCTCTTAGGGTAGGTAGATATATGGTCCCTTAGTACGGGCCCTTGAAAGGGTACCCCAGCGCACCCTAAACCCTAAACCCTAAACCCTAAACCCTAAACCCTAAACCCTAAACCCTAAACCCTAAACAATTACCCTTAGAGTTGCAGCAGGCTCAATGGCTACCAGTAAGGGGGTTTTAGGGCTTAGGGTTCCCAAAAACTGGGGGCTCCCCCTTCGCCAAGGTCATTCCCTTGTAAGGCGTGTAGGCTTTACGAAAAACACAATAAGCAATAACCCCTAAGCAAACCATGGGGGCATTCAACCCTAACCCTAAACCCCAAACCCTAAACCCCAAACCCTGAACCCTGAACCCTGAACCCTAAACCCTAAACCCTAAACCCTAAACCCTAAACCCTAAACCCTAAACCCTAAACCCTAAACCCTAAACCCTAAACCTATACCATTCTCTTCCAGAGGTCTGCGGGGGGGGGGGGGGGGGGGCTTTGGGTTGGGTTCAGGGTTTCAGGCCCAGGGCTGCCCAAAAAGTCAGGCCAGTTGCGGGGCTAGGGGTTTAGGGTTTGGGGTTGAGGGTTTGGGGTTTAGGGTTTAGGGTTTGGGGTTGAGGGTTTGGGGTTTAGGGTTTAGGGTCTGGGGTTTAGGGCTTAGGATTATGATTATTATTATTATTATAATTATTATTATTGGTATTGGTATTATATATGTATATATAGAGGGTTTCGGGTTTAGGGCTTGGGGTTTAGGGTGTAGGGATAGGGGTTTACGGTTTGGGGGTCAGAGTTTACGGGAACCCCAGTGTGGGGTGCACTTGTATTTCGTACTCCTTTGGAAGAAGCCAGACAGGGATCGTGGGTACCTAGTTCCGTAGTACGAGAACTAGACTCTCTGGAGTAATTATTCTACGAAGCTGTGCCCCTAAACCTTAAGCCCCTCAACCCTACACAACATACCCAGCTATGACTCTAAACCCTACACCCTGATGCCGCCAGAAAACCTAAGCCTAAAACTCTAAACTTGACTCTGAAAGAGTCACTCTGCTCAACATGACAAGCGAGTCACATCACACGCATGAGGCTGACAAACACTCCAAACACCACACTGGGCTTTAGAGATTGTGTTAGAGTTTATAGGGTTTAATGTTTTAGAGCTTTTTGGGCTTATACGGTTTACAGGGTTTATAGGGTTCATACGGCTAATAGGGATTATGCAACCTGAACACAATCTGCTGTGGCGGGTAACCTGCACATGAAAGGGTACCCTCGGTTGCTTAAAGGGTTCAACCTAACCCGTCAAAAAGAAAAAAAGGGCCTACTCTAAGTTCTAGTAAACGTTACCTCATTGGGGTCGGGGACAGAATTGGGGTCACATGCCCTATCATACCATCCCTAGTAGCGCACATGGACGACCATAAACCCGTTTTTGGGCTAATGTAGTTTTGGCTAGTCTCCAAGTCTTTTTGTCTGCTCTGAAACGAAAGGCTGCGGCCTCTGTCATCGAACATCTTCTCGTCGCGTCACTCAGGTCAACCGGGATGCGCAAGCCCTAAACCCTTAGCCTCAAGCCCTAAACCCGAAAAGTTGAAGTCCGAAAGGGCGTAGCTCTTCGGAAAGCCTGAACAAACCTTAAGAACCCTCAATCCAAAGAAACCTCCGGCCACCGTCAACCTTGCTAGTTCTGAGTAGTGGGGAAGTGGGGAATCAGGTGCCCTATATCCACGCCTCGTACCCTTTAGGGTTTAGGGTTAGGGTTTAGAGTTTAGGGTGTACGTCAACATAGAGGAACTCTGATTCCTGAATTTCCTGCTAGCAGAACCATCAAGCAGCAAGAGGTCTGCAACTAAACCCCGCTCCTCCGATTTTCCAGGTCAAAGGAGCCTAAACCCTAAACCCTAAACCCGAAACCCGAAACCCGAAACCCTAACACCTAAACCTTAAACCCTAAACCCCAAGCTAGGAAGCCCAGGAACCACATTCCCGCACCCTTCTTGGGGGGTTTCGCTACTTTGTAAGGGAACCCACAACCACCAAAAACCCTAAACCCTAAACCCTAAACCCTAAACCCTAAACCAAAAAGCCCTACTGTAAACCCCAAATGGCAAAAAAGCTACCACTGGGCTACGAAAGCTGCGCAGCCCTGTTGCTTTGCGACAGTGATTTGACAAGCGGGGAAGAAAGACTGCACCCTGGGGACCACAGGAGCCCTACCAGGGTTTAGGGTTTAGGGTTTTTGGGTTTTGGGTTTAGGGTTTAGGGTTTAGGGTTTAGGGTTTGGGGTTTGGGGTGTAGGGTTCATACACCCTGATAGGGGTATATGAAGCAGGGTTTATATTTCTTGTACCCCTAAAAGGACACCAAGTATATACACTCACCAATATTAAAAAGGAACTGTATATACACTCACCAAAAACAGAAATATAAACCCTGCTTCATATAGGGTATGTGACCCCCAATTTTAGGGTTCGTTTGGTCCCCAAGGCGCGGGAATGAGGAGTAGGGTTTAGGGCCGTTTAGGGCTGGGCTTCGGGTGTAGTGAGCAGGCTGAGAACCCAAAAAGGGCCCATAACACACATTTTACATTTTGAGGTTTAGGGTTAGGGTTTAGGGTTTAGGGTTTCGGGTTTAGGGGGGGGAGGGGTACAGCACTAAAGGATCGCATAACCGACCAGTCACCGCGCTAAAGGCAGTCCTCCTGGCGGCGGTTAGTACACTTTGTAACCATGCCGTTCCCCAGGCGCCTGCCAGGAAGACAGGGCAGAGGGTTTAGGATTTAGGGTTTAGGGTTTAGGGTTTAGGGTTTAGGGTTTAGGGTTTAGGATGGGGTGCCGTGCAACACGGCTTTGAGCCGCGACCTACTAGGAGGCCTCGGATGCCCCTACGTTGTCCAAGATGACATGCGCCCAGAAGCTCAGCCATCGATGATCGGAACCCAAAATCCACACCCAAATGTTTGACACTTGACTTGAGACTGAAGAAACACAAGCTGCGTGTTGCAGCCACTTCTTGTAGAGGCCACGCTTCTGGCGTAGGCTTTGAAATTTCAGGTTCCAGGGCCCAGGGTTTTCTGCGTCATGCAAGACTGGTAGCTGGTCTCGAAATGTTTTAACCTTATGCTCAGAAGGAACAAAAGCATGCTTGCTATAGCACCGAGCCCCAAGCTCTAAACCCCAAACCCTAGTTGCTGACTTCATAAGCCCCAAGAAAGTGTACACTTTCAGTTCTGTAGGGGGTTATAATATCCCAAAAAGTGTAAAGTGTACTCATGCAGCTACTAAGAAACCCTAAACCCCCAGCCTCCAAACGCTCCGACTTTGCATAGCGACCACAGGTCTCTGAGGGAGCACCCAGAGATTTGATGGACACAACGCGCCGATCCTGGCCGCTGCTTGGGGTAGGGTTTAGGGTTTAGGGTTTAGGGTTTAGGGTTTAGGGTTTAGGGTTTAGGGTTTAGGGTTTAGGGCTAAAGGTTTAGGGTTGAGGGTTTAGGGTTGAGGGTTCAGGGTTTAAGGGTCAGGGGGCCTTATGGGTTTTAGGTTTCGGGTTCGGGGTTCTTATAGGGTGCAGGGTTTAGACTGAATCCGATAGACTTCCCGGGCAGCAGAGGGTGAGAGGCTTAGGTTGGGATGTCCCCCTTATACTGACAGTCCTTCATAGGGATTATAAAGCTAGGGAGGGTCACGCCCCAGTTCGCGGACTACCGTCCCACCATATTCCCCAATAACCATTCTTACCAACAAACCCTCATAACCATCATACCCATATTCCCCAATAACCATTCTTACCCATAAACCTCATAACCATCATACCCATATTCCCCAATAACCATTCTTACCCATAAACCTCATAACCATCTTACCAACAAAACCTTCATAACCATCATACCTTCAATCCTACAACCACAACACCCAAAAGACCTTAATCAATTCTCCTATCAACCATTCTTACCAATTCTCCTATCAACCCAAACCCCCCAATACCAAAGCTCCTAAACCCCCAACTTCCCCAAACCCCACCATCCGCGAACCCCCCGTGTGAAGCTCTTCCGATTTCCACAACGAGCTCTACAACATCCAGATGGCGCGCCCTGCACGTTTTTGCAAGAGAAGCCAAGTGATAGCAGAAGGTCGCCGTGCATTGAAAGCTTTGTTCTTTTGTATCCGTAAAGCCTTCTTCATACAAAGACCCCTTCGCGTCATCCCTTCGTCTGTTGCAATGGCAATCTGGCAGAGACACGTTCCGAGTAGCGCGGGTAAGTTCTGCATTCACCAAGTTGAAGCGGATAGAGCTGAAAGATGGGGTGCCTTCTTCATCCCACATCGTGCTTCTGCTTCTGGTCTTCCGAAAGACTTGCGTGATTACAGAATTTGGGACACTCGTGAGTTGCGTGAGCACCTCCTGAACAGTTGCACTCGGACGCGTCTGCTGGAAATTGCAGAACAGATGAAGGCAATGCCATCGTCTTCTTCTTGCTCCAAGCCGTCGCGGAAAGACCTAGCAAAGTTCATCGCAGAGGCTTGTGTGCTTCCTCCTGTTGATGCCGAGCCGTGCCAGAACACACATATTGACCGCCTCTGCTCTTCGTTAAGCTATGAGGACTTTCTCAGACGTACGATGAAGGGCGAAGACGTGAAGAGGGAGACTGTTGAAAAGGTGCTGACGATTCTTTCTGATGCTTGTAAGAAGAACGGCTGGCATTCCGATGACGATTGCAGAAGAGCATTAGAGCTTGTGCTCAAAGGATGCATTAAAGAACTAGACCCGAACGTAGCGAAGCAGTACATCAAAGAAATCAACGCGAAGATACGCTCTCAGTCATAAGCACTGACTTTTGCTTTTGTGGTGCAGAATGGGCTCACACACAGACGTAGTCGTACAGGTCTGCCCTTCGTAAGCACGCCTTGATTGCATACAGCAATCACCAAACCGAATCGCCCTCACAGTAAAAAACATCAATTGCGTTGCAGACTGGTTGCAAGTGAAGGTGCAAGAGTTTGAAGCAACATGTGCGAGCAAAACATTTGGAAAACCGAAGCCTGTATGTGCGCAAGTCCTCGTAGCATACCCTTGCTTTTCGGAAGCCATGTCCTTGATTTTCATCACGAAAGACGAGGGCTTGTGTCCGTATCATGTGCCGTTGGGGCATCTTTGTCCCTTGGAGAGCATTCGTGAGCGTGAGCCTCTCTGCCCTACCCTTGATGAGCTTGAACTGCTGACGATTGATAGCATGAAGAGCTTTGCCAAGAACTGCGGTTTAAAAATCGGCTTCTCGGGCGGTGTTCCAACCAAGAAGCACTACAAGGAAGCCATCGTTGAGAATTGGGAAAAAATCGCAGAAAGGGTTGTCAGTGGCATATGGCTTCCTGACGACGTCGCTGGTGCAAAGAAGTTGATGGTCATCCAGCGCGAGGACGGCTACCTTCTTGCCTTGGAGGTGTTCGGCGGGATGGTTCTTCACATTGACGAGATTGACAGCACGGACACTACCCCGCCTTCCGAAAAGCTTCTTAAATCCTTGACAGTTGCGCAGATGAAGACCCTTGCCTTGAACCTCAACCCTGACACAAAGGTGAATAAGCTGAGCCCTATTGGACTCATCAACCGCATCCGTGAAGACTGGCAGTCACTCAGTTTTTTCAATGCTCGCGGAAAGGCGTTGGAAAAGAAGAAGGCAACTGACTTGGAAAAGATGAGGGCTAAGGGAAATCCTTTCGCATCCAAGCCATCCGATGAGTGCAGTGATGAAAGCACTTCGGTCGCCAGTCCTTGCAGTAGCGACTGTATGAGCATCACTGACTTGGTGTGCAGACTGGCTGACGAGGAACTTCAAGCAATGACAGCTTCGTCTGAGGTGGTGAATGTGCATGTGAAGGAGTGCAAGGGTGGCAGGGTTCTCACAACCTTGTCTGTGAGTGCCGACACAACCATCTGCGACTTCAAGAGCTTCATCTGTGGCAAGATTGGCTTTGATGCTTCGTCCATGGATACTCTGACCTCATCCGACTTCAAGCTCATCTACAACAACCTGACCATGAAAGACGACCAGCAGTTGTCCGACTTCACTGAGGGCGAGACAGACATCTCGGTGTATCTCTTCCTCACCCTGAGGGGCGGTGCAAAGCAGACGAAAAAGACCCTCAAAGTGAAGCAGTATCTCATCTCTGAAAAGCGCTCCGAGCTTACGGAAAAGGCGAAGGCTTACTCGCAGGAGAAGTTCGCCAAGTCCGCTGACATCGCCAAGACATCCAGAGAGAGGATTGAGCGCTTCTACAACATCATGGAGACCAATCCAGAGCAGGCGTTCAAGGAGTTGCTTTCCTCGGTGCCTACATCCGTCTTGGGGTGTCGTGAGAACTCCGAGTTGATGGAAGCAATCAAGAGCGGTGTTCGTGCAGATGTTCGCATTGAGAACTTTGTCAAGATTTTGGCGAAGCACAACTTCAAAGAAGCCTACGACATGATGCAAGAGTATCAGACGTTGATTGAAAGTGCTCTCCTCACAGGCGAGATGCTCATCACCAAGAGGTTCCTCCGTGATGATGGCGCGTGGGACTGGCAGATGATGAAGCGCTACATTGATGATGAGATGGTTCGGCGTGAGCAACCCTCTTCCAGTGCTGACGCCTCCATGCGTGACGCCTAGGTGTGATGAAAGCCTCACACTAAATCGGTGTAGACCTTACACTGAATCGGTGTAGACCTTACACTAAATCGGTGTAGACCTTACACTAAATCGGTGTAGACCTTACACTAAATCGGTGTAGACCTTACACTAAATCGGTGTAGACCTTACACTGAATCGGTGTAGACCTTACACTAAATCGGTGTAGACCTTACACTAAATCGGTGTAGACCTTACACTGAATCGGTGTAGACCTTACACTAAATCGGTGTAGACCTTACACTAAACCGATGCTGGGGCTTCATCTCCTCTTCTGCTGACGGCTTTTTACAGCCTCCTTTTGCACCTTCTGTGGCAGTGAAACAGTGCAATTGCGTCCTTGCACCTTCTGTGGCGAAGATGACTAATCAGCTCAGCCGTGCCACTTGACAAAACATATCATTAGTTGTGATGCACCAGCAGATTTGAGACCAGTTTCAGCAGTCTGTGCAGTGCGGAAGCCCCCCTAACCCCTAACCCCTAAACCTTTTGAGAATGGCTAATGTGTGCGTGGCAGGTGGACGACTTCATCAACGACACTCACAACCGCGACTTCCACGCTTCGGTGCGCCCTTTTAGGGGTTAGTTCTTAGGGTTTAGTTCTTAGGGTTGTTAGTTTGGGGTTTGGGGTTTAGGGGTTAGTTTGGGGTTTGGGGTTTGGGCTTCTGCTCGCACTGCGAACAACCATCTCAGAACCGGAGCAGACAAAGGGGGAATCCGACTGCTTCAACGGAAGCATTGCGAGAGCCTCAAAGGCTCAACGCCCTTTTTTAGGGTTTAGGTTGGTTTAGGATTGTTTTTTCCCTAAAACCTCAAAAAATAGGGTTGAATAGGGGTTTCCCCTACAAAACCCTAAGAGAAAGAAGAGACAGAACATTTTTGGCTCAAAAACATCAAAAATCTTCATAAGCTATTTTTTTCCGAGCTCAAACTCTCCTCGTGTTCAAAACCTATAAAAAATCCAACCTGCCTCAAAACATATAGCAAAACATATACACAAACAACAAAAAACAGAAAAACAACAAAAAACATCCAAAATCTTCATAAGCCATATTTTTCCGAGCTCAAACTCTCCTCTCGTCCAAAAATAACTGTTATAATAATAATTATAACAACCATTTCTATTCCTCAACCTTATTCGCCTTAATAACAGCCATATTCTCCATACTATATTTTTGGTTAGGAAGCATTTTAACCTGTCCTCCCTTCGCTTCCTTAATCCTTTGCTTACTTAACCTTTTCCTTTCCCTTAATGCAGTTGCGTAATCGGGGTCTTGCATTCTCAACTTATAATACAACCTCTGATACAGCGCCATTTGCTCCCTAACCTCGTCCAGTGTCAAATCCTCGGGCTTCTTCATTGCAGTCATTTTATGCTTACTATATATAGGCGTTTTGTCTTTAAGGCATTTACAAAGACCGACCAAACCAAAATCAAAACAGGCGAATAAGGAGAAACCATTTAAAGAAATAATAACAATATATTTTAATCTAGATTATCATATGACTAGAAAGGCTATCCGTGACAATATTAAACACCTAAATAACAAGAGACAACGATTAATAGAAACAAAAGCACCTAAAAACGTTATTACCAAAGTTAATCAAATTGTTGATTTATATGAGAACCGCCAACTTTCAATTTTCAAAACCGCCGAAAAACTCATCAACGAAATGACAACAGGAACTCAAAAAGAAAAAACAAGAGGCATTAAAAAAGCAGAAAAAGCCATAGACAAGTTTGAATCAAAAGCCCCGTTATCGGAACGAATGAACAAAACAGCCGAAAAAGCTAGGGAAGGAAAGCAGATAAAAGTTTTACGGCGCATTTTCGGGAAACAACCTTTGAGAAATGTTGTATCCAAAACAAAAGAGCTTTTCAAAAATCGCAAAACGTATTCCATTAAATATATGCTTCTTTCAACACAGAACCGTTCAGGAAAAAAACGAGCTTTTGAAGTCAATGGCAGAAATTATTATCCGCTACTTAATCCAGCACAGAGAGAAGCGCAAGTAAAAGCAAACGACTTTATAGAGACCGTCATAAAACGGAGAATAACAAAAGAATATGATAAATTCCTTTTTAAGCGCCTTATGTTAATATTAAGAACAGACCCAGAGTTTAATGATATGGCGAAGGGTGATATGTATCAATACATAAATGCGATAAGAATTGAAAGCGCCAACATCGCAGAAGGCGAATCCCAACCGCCAGAAAATCAAAACTTACGAGATGCTACAAACATATCCATATATAACAAATATATAGAAACTGAGATTGACCCCAGCTACTCAACAATAAAAGAAGCACTCGCTAAAAAACATTACACCGACAACGAATGTTGGATAAATTCTCTTCTAGACCACTACCCCGACCTTATGACACACAAACGAGGCTCGCATTCAAAAACCTTAACCCGACAACATATGTTAGAACTTCTACACACAACAGAAGAAGAGTTTAAAAACAAAGGTGCAACCACCACGCAAATGGAAAACGTCTTCAAGGCATTTAACATAACAGCACGTCTTTTTGACTTCAACGGGAAGCTTATCTATTCCTTTGACCCGCCCGACTACCATAAACACACGAAAGGCTTCTTCGGGCTCATCAAGAACAACCACATCTATACCATAAACAGAGACCTGAAAAGCATCAAAAAAACAATGAATGAGAACACCCAAAACAACTTCAATCTGAAAATCAGTAGCAACTATTACATAAGCGACCGAGAAGAGCCCCCTGAATGCCATATGATAGAGACAGCCAACGACCTTTTAAAATACACGGAAAAACCAGAATATACCTTAGTTCATAAAGATAATGACCTCGTAAAACTCTTCCACGAACTAAAAATGGCAGGTTACGAGCCCTTCATCAAATATCAAGCGGGAACGATGACAGAACTGAAAGTAAATTGGAAGATAAAAAGCAAAAAGCAAGAAATCACCTACACAATCAAGCTACAAAACTTATCAACCCACAGTATAGACGAAGACGTATCAGTAGAAAACGAAAAGCTTTTCAACGATATGAACCGAGAAATGTTTAACTTCAATAAGAAAATCTTCAACGATGCCCACAAGTCCTATTATAGCCAGACAGACATAGATATTTTAGATGAATGCCGAACCATAGTGCCAAGCGGATATTTCAAAA